TACTTACTTACCAATCAATACATAAAATAAATGGTGAGTTATAGAAGCTAAAAGGCAGCCCAATGAAAATGAGGCAGAAAACCCTGGAAGAACAAAAGCCCTCCTTGCATATTTCTGTGGGAGATCTAAAGCACACTCACTGCTTGTACACAGATGCTTGTATTCCAGTGACCTTGCAAGGTGGGAGAACAGAGAATGGGCCTGGTCCTCATGAGAGGGTTTTCATGCAGCTTTGGGCAGGAAGACTGTCGAAGCCTAAATTCTTAATTCCTTCAAAGCCAGTGTGGGCTCTATGCTTGTGACATCTACAAAAGTTTTGAACTCAGTTTACCTGGAACTTCTTATTCAAAATAGCTGTTAGGCTCCATGTCAGTAACTTCCAAGAGAAATACACTGCACTTTAGTAATATGAAGACAGGAAGGGGAACACGTGATGGTAAAGTGACATTAATCGATAAAATCTTAGAATTAAGCCAATTACAATTTGGTAGAGTTGAGATTTTCCCCATCTTAACTAATATAAACATATTGGAAACCTGGTCCTATTTTAACTAAAATATTAGTTTCATTTTTCAACAGCTACTATTTTAAAAATATTTCCTCAAAATATTACATCTCAGATTCTTATCAACTATAGCAAAAATAATGAAGTTTTGTAGAAATGTCTATTGATAGAGTGATTTAGTTTCCCAAATCACTACGTGGTCAGTTATGTAGCCAACTCTTGATTATTCCTGTTATTTACTTTCAGCAGCAATTTTTAAATCCCAAGCTAACTTCCTTCAATCGCTTATGCTCTAAAGTTGCTGACAGTTGATATATACCCAAGGAATATAAACCAATTTTATCAGTAGCCTAAAAAAATATCAACAAAACACAAAGCTGTTTCCAAAACTCAGACAATCCATGAGGCTTTTGATTTCCCACACCACACTTGCTACCATTAGCATAAATGAACTCAGGCAAATGTCAAGAATTGCCATGCTGACCAGAGTTTAAATGGCATGATAGATTCACCCACTCCTATATTTGGCGCTGTAAAAGATCAGGAATCTATTACAAACAATTAAAATAGGATGCATGAACGGGCCGAGGGGCTCAGTTGGTTAAGAGCGTAAGCTCTGAGCAACAGGGTCCCGTGTTTGATTCCCACATGGGTCGATGAGCTGCGCCCGAGCTGAGCTGCCACTGAGCTGCCGACGGGCATCTGGATGGCTCAGCTGTTGAGAGCACGTGCTCCTAACAACAAGGTTGTGGGTTCGACTCTCGCATGGGATGGGGGGCTATGCCCACCTGCAACTAAGATTGAACACAGCACCTTGAGCTGAGCGGCCCCGAGCTGCCAACGGGCGGCCAATGGCAACTGGACGTGGAGCTGAGCTAACTGCGCCCTCCACAACTAAGACTGAAGGACAGCAACTTGGCTGTTCCCCTTGCCCAATTCTCCAACACTGTTCCCCTTCCCCAATAAAATCTTAATAAAATAAAATAGTATGCATTTTTTACTTCCATGTAACTAATAAATGACTGACTTTTACCAGTGGGCTGTAGTATGTTATCATGAGTTTTAGACTTTTAAAGACCTTAATAGTTTACATAAGACAAAAAACTGGGGATTCAGGAATTTTCTTACAATGCTTACATGGAATTCTGAAATGCTTACATGGAGAAAGGAGAAAAGAAAATATAAAATATAGGATGAAACATAAAGAAACCAATGATGGTGATGTTTGAATGTCTATGTTCAGAATGCAACAGTGGTAGAGGAGAAACTTNCAGGATGGCTCAGCTTAAAAAAAAAAAAATAGCAACATTCCCTTTTCTTCCTTTGTCTCTCCTAACTCCCTGTCCCCTTCCATATTTTATTTTTCTCCATAATAATGTATCACCATCTGATATGCAAATATTCTTCACTTGTGTTTATTGGAGTATAATACACACACAGAAAAATGCGCATACCAGAGGAGTACAGCCTGATGACTTTCACAAACAGAACACAGCCAGGACCCAGCAGCGCTCATCAAGAAACTGTCTGTCATCAGCATGCTGGAAGCCCTTCCTGCACTCTTCCAGTTCCTACTCCCCCCTCCCACTCCCCCCAACATGAAGCTGCTGTCCTCACTTTTAACAGCATAAATTATTTTCTCACTTTTTGCATTTTATGTAAATGGAATCATACAGTATGTGTTCTTTTCCTATTTGGCCTCCTGCTCCCACATTATATCTGGGAGAGTCATCCATATCGTAGCACGTAGTTATAAACCTTTCATTTTCATTGCTGTAGGGTAAAGTATCTTACTGGGTCGTATATCATGCACTGGTGATGGACCTTTGGGTAGCTTGCAGTTTGGGACTATTACATGTTTTGTGATGAACAGGTGTATGCCTTTCTGTTGGTAATTCATGATATGTGTAACTTATTTATTTGTGTATTGGTTCTCATGTAAGCTGAATAAGGCAGAGGTTTTTTTTCTCTGTTTGGTGTATTTCTGTGTTCCTAGTGCCTAAGATAGTATCTGGCACATAGTAGGTGATCAACAAATATTTGTTGAATGAATGAATGAAATCCTTTTTCCTGCTTAGGTCATAAATTAATGTAGCCTGAACTAATCCTTCTCTTTCTCCAAAAAAATACAAAATTCACTTCTATACTTTATTCTAAATACTCAATATGAAATCTCCAGAAAGATATGTAACAATCGATTATAGAAAGACTGCACCACATACATGCCTCTAGAGAGCTGCATAAAACCACTCACCATCTGGTAGACACATAATCAGTATATGGTGGCTGTGACCTTAATTCTCTGGCAAGTCCAAAATCAGCAATTTTCACAAGTTCTGGACCCATACAAAGCAAGTTTTCTGGTTTCATATCCCTATGGAAAAAACCTGGTAATACAGAGAGGAAAAACAATAATAAATCATGATATTTAAACATACGTGACTTATAAACAAAATATAACTGAGCCTGCTTCTCTCTTATAATTAAGGATGTGAACATAAAATAAACCATATATATTGTCTAAAAAGTAATGGGAGGTGGGGGCTCTGCTTTCAAAATAATTTTGCAAGAACGTTCACACAGCATATAAGGTTATTAAAAATAACATGTAATTCTATTTGTGAATCCTGTAAGTTCAGGCATTATGATTATCTCCATTACTTTGCATAACAACCTTATGGAGGTATTA